GATGGAGGGACCTTAAGAAACTCTTAAGACTCTCTCACACTCTTCTTTTTGCTTCTACCTGCTGCCATTTTGCAAACCTGCTCCTCTGTGAGGTGAGGCTACGGCCTCCAATGAAGCCTCTCTCTCCATAGCTTATGAACTGAGCAGAGAGGAGTCCCCACACCACACACCAGGGGTTAGAAGAATGATGCTGATTGGCCCATTAACTCTGACTAAGCATGTGAGCTATGTCATCGACCTCCTGAGTCACATGTCCCTCTCTGTGGCCAGGGAACAGGGTCTGTTACCAGGAAGAGTAGGAAAGCGGCAGTCGGCATATTCAACAATGGCCACCATAGCACTAAGGAAAAAAGAGCTCTCGAAGGTCCCAGTGCTACAGAAAGATGACTCCTTCCTTGGGTCTTGCTCCCTTTCCCAGGATCCCAAGTGAGGGTTAAATACTCCATGTGGTCTAGGGAGCTCAGAGCCTGCCCACCAAGATTGAATAACAGTGAGCATGCCACCATCTTGGTAGGGAAAAGATGAAAAGCGAGAGTTGGCCTGATATTACCACCAATACCAACAAAATAACTAGAAATAAAATCTGGAGTTCACAGAGTATCATAGACTCAAAAGAATTAGAAAGGATCCAAGGGAATCTAGATAATTTCCTCCCCCCTAGTCAGAGCTTTATAAGAAAGGGTCCTGACGAGTGGCGAAAGGTGCTCTGGGGATCTTGCACTCGGTGTGGCTCTATAGGGAATCTCAGAAGGTCCCTTGGATTCGATGAGATCATGAGTCTGTGGAATTGATTGATTTCCCTCCTTAAATTGGCCAGGATGTTTTCCCTCCTTTTTCCCTCTTATTAATGGTTTTAATGACCAGCAGGCCTTCACATTGGGTTCCTTCTAGATGTCTCACATACTAACTCCCTGTGTTCAGATAAAGCCCAAATCCTCAGGAACATGATGTGTCTCCCTTTGGTTTTCATCCCAACCGTTGTGAGCCTCCTTTTCTGTATATTTTGGCATTTTCGTCCCTTTCCTTTGAGTCTTGGCCAAATTCACCAGATCACAGCTCTTAAGAGAAGGATGAGGTTGAAAACAGAGGTCTAGAAAATCTTCAGAGTGAGTTTTCCAGGTCACAGGGAATGAAGAGAAATAGTGAGAGGGATTCTCATTTTGTTTCTTTGCTGTGGTAGGAAGAACAACGGTGTCCCTAAAAAATGTTCACATCCTAATCCCTAGGAACTCTGAATATGTTATGTTACATGGCAGAGGGAAATTAAGGATGTGATCAAGATGACTTAAATGGATTCCCCAGGTGGGCCCAATGAAAACATAAGGGTCCTAAAAAGTAGAAGGAGGCAGATGAGGAGGCCAGTCAGGGTGATACTAGGTGAAAAGGACTCCACCTGGCTTTCAAGATGGGAACACAGGGCCACAAGCCAAGGAATGCAGCAGCCCCTGGAATCTAGAAAAGTCAGGAAAATGTCACTCTCCTGGAGTCTTCAGAGAGAATCGCACCCTGTTAACACATTGATTTTTGCCTGGCAAGACCCATGTTGGACTGCTGACCTATAAACCACAAGATAATAATTTCTGTTGTTTAAACCAGTACATTTGTGGTTGTTCGTTATAGCTACAATAGAAAATGAATACAACTCCTGTTTATCCTTTTGTGTTTTGAAATGTTAGTTCCTTGAGGATTCCAATTGCTGGACTAGGTAGAAACAGGATAGCATAGCAGACAAAGAAAACAGATTTGACTCTGCTACCTCCTTACCTGGGGCTATGGAAAAAATCAATTTTTCTGGACCTTGGTTTCCACATCTACAAAACAAGATAGTTTTATAAATGGTCCTCCAATCCTTTAAGTTCTGGACTGGCATTTGCACATTCCATCTCTGCTCCCTTAATAGCCCCTACCTTTGATGAATGATGGCAGCCCCAGGGACAACTGAGCTGTCCTCTGACCACGGGCAGCAGAGCTCTGGATAGGGAAAGAAGGCCAGCAGGTCACAACCCCTTCCAGGCTTGTCCTTAGGTACCGAGAGAAGGCACAGAAGCTGTCCTGTGTGCTTTCTCTTCTCAGGAAACATCTTAGTGCCAATAAGGAGCACTGTGGGGCTGAAATGCTAGAGACTTCTAAACCCCAATAGGTCACTGAAATCCTCCTGGAGGAGAGGAGACTGGTATTGGCCTTAAAAGATAGATAAGCTCTGGGTAAGGATATTCTAGGCAGAGGCCTGGAAAGAAGAAAGGCCCAGAATGCTTAGAGCATTTAGAGCAGGGTGAATGAACTAGGTTGATAGAGGAGAAAGAAGGTCTTGTGGTGGTCATGAGATCACAGAGTCATATTAAAACCCGATGATGGGGGCTGAAGACTGAGTGAACTCCTTCAGGCCCTACTGTCCCTGGTACCATGTTTGCACAAGGCTTAGAATAGTGGCATGTATATAATAGGTGCTCAAATTTTGTTGAGCAAACGAATGAGTAGGCACTGCTATAATTTGAATCTCAAGTGTCTCCCAAAAGACTCTGTGCTGAAGGCTTGGTTCCCCAGGGTGGTACTTACTATTGGAAGGCAGTAGAACATTTATGAGGTGGGGCCTGGGGGGAGATCCTTAAGGCACTGGCCTCTTTCTAGGTTGATCACCTCAGGTATTTGTTATAGACACAGTAAGCTACCAGAGGCACCCATGATTTTTGAGCAGACATTACAATAGCCCACAGTGAACTTAAGGGAGATGAGTGGGACCTTTATGCAGAGTGGATCCAGGGAGCAGAGATGGAATGTCCAAATACCAGTTGAGAAGCTTCCAAAGCAAGAATCAAGCTGGCATGGTTGGAGTGGGTGAAACAAAGAGGAGATGCCCATGTGCCATTAAGATTTTCCCTAAGCCATCCCAGCTGGGAGGATGTAATTTTCATTCATGCAAATCTCTAAGGAAGGAGACCCACCACCTAATGAATAAGAACAAGGCAGTGTCCCCGTCAGGCCCACACTCTCTGAGCAAAAGCCTTAGGCAGCCATGTAAAGCATCTCCAACCCACATATTTTCAATAGAAATGACCACTAATTTCCGCACAATTATTCTCCCTGTAATCAAAGCTGGTTCTTCGTTTACCCTTCCCTTCCCTAGACTCAACAACTCTAATTTCCCCTAACTGCTTTCAAAGGTTCATTTGCCAAGTCTTCTAATTATTTCAATGTTTTCCTTCTGATCCCTTTCCAAGTTCCCTCTCTCCTAAGTCATTTACCTGAATCCGAAGACTAGATTTGCTCCAGTAGCAGCACTCATCTGCTGCGTCTGCTTTTCCTCTAAGCAGTGGGCAAGGAGCACAGCTCTGCTCCAGGAGGGAGGCCTAGTCTCATGGGAACATTCTAGTGACGAGGCAGTACCAGCCGGCCAAGGACTCAGGCTGTCCTTGCCAGAAATCAAAAAGAAGCCCCTCTCCAGACAATGTCTGGCCTCAGATCCCAGAGAAATCCACCATCCTCTTCTTCTTTATCATCCTCTCCAAGCTCCCCTATCTTTGCCTCAGCCCATGTCCTCCGGGCAGGGACAGAAGTGTAATTGATGGCCTCAGGGGATATCAAAGTGCTATTGAGCAAAACCACAGCCCAACAGCTGCGCAGGTGCTTCCTGCAGCAACAGGGAGGGAAAGAAGTGTCTTTAGAAAGCCCTAAATAACTCCGGGCAGGGATGTCAACTTGACAAATGACTCCCGAGAAACAGTCCCTTGTTCTCTGGTGTGTGATTCATACAAAGCCATGCTGGAGTTGGGGGCAAGGGCCAGCTCTGAGTCCTGCATTTTGTCACTTGAGGCCGCTCTTCAGCCCTGCTCTCAGGAAGGATAAGACACTGTGTGTCTCTTGGCCTCCATCTTTCAGTCCTTATTTTCCAATAGTTTTTGAGGTTTTTTTTTTTGGGGGGGGGGTTGTTTTTTTTTTTTTTAGTGAATCCAGGATTTGTGCTCATTGGGTTTGAGCTGCATTCAGTGGAAGATGGGAGCCATGGGGAGAATCGCTCTCTAAGCACCCAAGGACCTCTAACCCTTTGATTCTGGCTCCTGTGCTTCTTGCAATCCCAACAACAAAGACCGTGGGCTCCTCAAGGGCAGTGCTTTTGTCTCCCAACTCTCAGCTCCTCAAAGAACCAGCTTATTTAAAAATTTGCCAAATGTTGAATGGGTAAGTAAAAAGATCCCAAGACCAAGGGACATGATAACTGATTCCTGATCTTGGTCACTGAGACCTTGGCCAGGTGCTCAGGGCTTCTGGATCCTCATCTA